GTTGCTGCTGTTGCAGAGAAACTCCCACCTCCGTGCCCCTAGAGGCCACTTCTTCCTCCCCCAGGGGCCTCTCTACAGCAGAATAGGAGCTGTTGTTTGGCTGCAGCACCTCTGAAGTTTGCTGCTCTGAAGAGCGGAAGAAGACAGGCTCAGAAGGGGGCCCCCAGCTGGGGGCAGAGCCCAGGGGGCCCCCAGGGGGTCCCCCCTGGGGGCCCCCGTGGGCGCCCCCGGGGGGGCCCCCAGGGGGGCCCCTGAGGGCCCCGCTACCAGCCAAAGTGTTCATGCCTGCGCTCTCTAGCCTTTCAGGATTGAAGGTAAAGAGCCGCGAGGAGTTGCTGCCGCTGGTGGCGTTGTTTGGGGTGTCTTTGCTGCTGCTGCGCTGCTGCTGCTGCTGCTGCGCGGCGAGACGGTCCGTTGCTGCTGCAGCAAAGGGCAAAACGCCCTGCGCCGAAGGCCTCCCCACGCTGCACTGGGGAGACAGACTCTCGCGAGTAAGATCTGCTTCTGCTGCTGTTTTAAAAAGAGCAGCAGCAGTTGGCAGCGCGAAGTAATTTGAGCTGCCGATTTGTTCGCTGCCCTGCAGCACGGAGGCCCCCGCTCCTTGCTGCCAGTCTTCCCCTGGGGGCCGCCCGGCCAGCTGTGTCTGCTGCTGCTGCTGCGGCTGCTGTTGCTGCTGCTGCAGCAGGCGGGCACTCCGAAGGCGCAGCTGCTCCTGCTGCTGCTGCAGCTGCTGCAGCTGCTGCAGCAGCTGACCTTCCGGTGCCCCAGGCACTTGCGAGTAAACGGAAGCCTCAGAGCCCTGCAGGTCTTGACTTGCCTTCTGGCTCTGAGCAGCAACAAGCTGCTGCTGCTGCTGCTGCTCTTGTCGCCGTAGCATCTGCTGCTGCTGCAAGTGCTGTTGCCGCCGTTGCTGCAAGTGCGGTTGCATTTGCAGCGGCTGCACCTGCTGCTGCTGCTGCATCAGCTGCTGGTGCTGCTGGGTGTGGGTGACTTCTCCGTACGCGCTGCTACTTGGCTCTATCCTCCACTGCTGCGTCTCTGTCCTGCCGCTGTCTGCTGCAGCAGCAGCAGCAGCAGCAGAAGTCTCCAGCTCGACATCTGAGGCTCTTGGCGCTGCAGAAGCTGCTGAAAACTGCGGAGTTGGCGGCGGAAGCTGCAGCTCAGCTGGAGACCGGTCTGCTGCTGCTGCTGCTGCTGCTCTGTACGGAGGGTCCCAGGTCAGCGCCTCCGAGTGCAGCAAAGGGTATCTGCTGCTGCTGTTGCGGCTGCTGTTGCTTCGCAGGTACCTCTCCTCGCCTCTCCAGTCATCCCCTTGGGAGGCTGCGTTGCTGCTGTAGCGGCGGTAAGACGCGGGAAAGGGGCCCCCTGGGGGCCCCCCCCCCAGGGGGCCCCCCAGGGGGCCTCCCGGGGGCCTCCCTGGGGGGCCCCCTCGGGGGCCCCTGTCGCTCCAGCTCCCCGGAGAAAGCCCCTGGAAACTTGGCCTGCGCTGGGAAGGAGTTGCTGCTGCTGGAGCTGCTGCAGGAGCTGTTGCTGCTTCTCGGCTGAGGAAGCTGTGTGCGGATGCGGATGGCAGCAGCACGACAGGCTCGCCTTGCTGCTGCTGCTGCTGCTGCTGCTGGGAGGCGCTGGAGGAGCCCGGAATCGATCCCGATCCCGATCCCAGATCTCCCAACTGCAGCATGCGGTGAAAGTCCAGCAGCTCTTGAAACAGCTGCGTCCCATACAGCAGCACATCTATGGGGGAGTGCAGCTGCTGCACTTCTCCCCCAACAACAACTTGTGCTTTTGCTGCTGCCAGCAGGTGCAGCATCTGCAGCGCCTTGTGCGGCCTCACGGCGCTGCTGCCGAAGCTCCCGTTGCTCGTGCTGCTGCTGCTGGTGCTGCTGTTCGTGCTGCTAAAAATAGCCGTGCTCTGCCCCCCCGAGTCCTCCAGCCCCGTACCGCTGCTGGGGGCCCCCCTGCTGCTGGGGGCCCCTGGCCGCTCCTGGGGGTCTTCAGCAGCAGCAGCAGCAGGTAGCAGCCTGCGGTTGCTGCTGCGGCTGTGGGGAGAAGCAGCAAACAGCTCAGCGCCCAAGGGGGCCCCCCGGGGGGGCCCCCTTGGGTACTGAGCTGCTCCATTCCACGAAGGCCGCCTTCGGGGGGGGCCCCCCCTGGGAGAGCCTGAGGAAGAGTAGAAGGAGGAGTGCTGCAGCGCGGGCTGCAGCAGCCGGACAGCTCCACTGCTGACTCTGCTTTGCTGCTGCTGCTGCTGCTGCTGCCCGCGGTGCTGCTGGTGAGCAGCAGGAGCTTGTACTGCAGCAGGAAGGCTGGTCCTGACTGGACAGCTTCTGCTTCTCTTTCCATCACTTCTGCTGCTGCTCCTGCTGCTGCTGTTGCTGCTGCTGCTCCTGCTGCTAGTCCTCAGCCGCAGGCCCTCCAGCCCTTCCAAAGACACCGTGGAAGCACATTCCCCTGTGGGATCACTAAAGTCATTTGGGGGGCACAAGGGGATGTCTAGAGGGGCTGTGATATGAGCTGTGGGGTTTTGCTGCGTTTCCCTGTCGCAGTAGCTGCTGCTGCTGCTGCTGCTGCGCCTGCTGCTGCTACAGCAGCTGCTGCCACCATTGTTTTGCGGCAGGCAGCGTTGGGCAAGAGGCAGAGGCTCGGCCGGGGCACGCGGTTTCCTATTATCGCTACGAAAGCAGCAGCTCCAGCGGCAGCCACAGCTGCTGCTGCTGCTGCTGCTGCTGCTGCCCGAGCAGCTGCTGCTGCAGAACGACGCGCTGCTGCTGGCCGGCGAAGAACAAGCCAGCAGCAGATTGGGGGCGCCGTGGACTCCAGTGATTTGCCAAGAGTTGTTTGGGACTTCGGATGCATGCACGCGGTCATACTGGGTAGGTGCAGGTAGCTGCAGAAACTGCTGCTGCTGCTGCTGCTGCTGCTGCTGCTGCTGGCTTCTGGGTTCAGGGGGGTGATGCAGCGGCACAACGAAGGAGGGCCTCCGCGTCTTCGTCTTCTGTGTCAGGGTTTGCTGCTCCTGCTGCCAGTGCTGCAGCAGCTTCTTGTGCAGCATGCTTGCTGCGGGCCCTGAGAGGGCCCCCTGGGGCCCACTGGCGGGCAGCTGCAGCAGCACCACTGGCTGCTGCTGTTGCTGCCTGGGACTGCTGCTGTCCTGCTGCAGCACAGCACTTGGGGACTGCTGCAGAATTGCTGCCGGCGAGACAGCAGCTGCAACGGACGAGGTCCCCCCGTCTGCGAGAGTCACCGGAATGAGAATTTGCTGCTGCTGCTGCTGCTGCTGCTGCTGCCTGCCCGCCAGTGTGCTGCTTTTGTCCTTATTGCTTGCTGCTGCTGCTGCTGCATCGCTCAGCAGCTCCGGCGGCGCGTCGAAGCTGAAAGCAGCAAAAGGGGGGGGAGGGAAAAGGGGGGCATCAGGTTTGAGTTTTTTTGCTTCTTTTTTTTCTTCTTTTTCGGTCTTGGGGGCCCCCCGGGGGCCCCCCTTGGAGGCCCCCTTGGGGGCCCCCTGGGGGCCCCCCTTTAGGGTCTCTGGGGGCCTCGCAAGGGCCCCTCCAGACAGCAAATTCAATCTCCGAAATGCACAAAGACAAAGACAAGTTGCTGCAATCTGTGGGGCCCGAGAAGCAGCAAGCCGCAGCCGCAGCCAGCCCAGCAGCAGGTGCCGCAGCGTTGCCTGAAGCCAGCGGAGCAGCAGCGAGGGTTTAGGGTTTAGGACTTAGGGTTAAGGGTTTAGGGTTTGGGACTTGGGGCTTAGGGTTGGAGAGAAGAGCCAGCGGCCAAGAAGCTGCGTGAAGCGTTTCCGGGGTGGCTGGGGTGATTCTGCGAATGGAGGGGCTTTCAGGGTTTAGTGTTTAGGGTTTAGGGTTTAGGGTCTGCTTGCTTCTGCAGCAAAGATGATGCAAAGCTGAAGGACGAAAGCAATCCATTTTGCTGCTGCTGCTTCTCCGGCGGAAAGCACTTGGGCATATTTGGCAAAAAAGAGAAGCTGGCAAAGCAGCCATGCTGCGCTGCAGCCCAGCAGCAAACTCAGCCCAGGATGCACTGCGGGCAGCAGCAGGAGCAGCAAGCAGCAGCAATCAGCAGCAAGCAGCAGCAAGCAGCAGCAAGCAGCAGCAAGCAGCGCCAGTTGCATGCGTTTGTGGGGCCTTCGCACGCGCTTCCGGTGTAAGTAAAGCCGGGGCACACGCCCGCAGGAGCAAACTCAAGCGTCCGCAGCAGCAGCAGCAGCAGCAGCAGCAGCAGCAAAGGCCCGCGCCAAAGGCCGCAATGCCAACACGCAACAAAGACAAGGGACCAAAGAGCAGCAGCAGCACAGAGAGCCGAGCAGCAGCAGCAGTGCCAGCAGCATTAGCAGCAGCAGCATCAGCATGAGCATCAGCAGCAGCAGCATTAGCATCAGCCCCCCCCATTAGCACCACCAGCAGCAGCATTAGCAGCAGCAGCAGCAACAGCGGCGCCTCACGGGCGGGCTGGAATGCGTGCATTTTTGCTGCGCCTGCGGGGTCTTTGCGCGCTTTGGCGTGCTGCAGCGACAGCAGCACTTCGCCGAGGCCCCAGGGCAGCACCAAAAGGCAAAGGCCGAAGCAGGCAAAAGAGAGCCACCGCTGTGACCACTGGTCATCTTCTGTTTCAGCAAATGCCAGCTGCCACACCAGCCAACTCGCCGACACCAAAAAGGCCACGAGCCTGCGGAAACAGCCGCTTTTTCAGAACCATTTGGACTAAAAACATTTCTTTTATTTATGTTTTGTGATTAGTTTCGTTTCAATGTATATTTAATTCATAATTGTGCATAAATATTTGCATAGGTTTGCATGCGGGTGCAGCCATTGGTGGGGAGTATGTACAGGTAAAGTTAATGTGAATGTGCAGAAAGATGCAAATAATTATTTTAAATGAATTTGTGAAGTTCTAATGTCAAATAAATTCAATTATTTGATTAATTAATAATCGAATATATATAAGTATTTATTATAAGTGCAAATGAGGCTTTTTTTGATTTGAAAAGACAGAAAGACCAGTTTAAAGTTCTCAATATTCAAAAAACAGAAAAGTAATTTGAATAATTTACTTTTAACATTAAAGAAAATGCAATTTTTCAAAGAGTGGAAATAAATGGAAAATAAAATAAAAAGTTTCTTTTTAAAATGCAATTTATCAAAAGTGGAGATAAAAGAAAATTAAAATTTAAAGTCTACGTTTTTATTTATTCAAAAATAATTCTTCTTTACGAAAATGCCCGAAAATTCCGAAAAATGAAAAAGTGAAAATGTCCGGGAAATGGAAATTCTGGAAATAAAGGAATTTGCAAACTTGCATTTTCATGAATACCTTTAAGAGACTTTTTGTTAAAAAAAGAAATTAAAATGGATTAATTAAATGAATTAAATGAATTAAATGAATTAATTAAAATGATTTTCTAATCAAAAGTCTCACCAAATTGAAGCCATAGTCCACTTCAATACTGCTTTAATTGTCTTGCTTCTTTTGCTGCCGCTTGCTGATGCTGCTAGACTCTCAGGCACCAGCCGCCGCTGCAGCAGCTGCAGCAGCGCCTGCGGGTCTTCAATAGGCTTGCGGCAGTCGCACAGCTCCTCTGCAACAGCAGCAGCAGCAGCAGCAGCAGAATCAGTATCAGCATCACACATAGCATAGGCAGATGCAGCAGGAGCACGAGCAGCAGCAGCAGCAGCAGAAGGAGCAGAAGCAGCAGCAGGCGCAAGGGCAGAAGCAGCGGCAGACGTACAGGCAGCAAAAGCAGCACCAGCACACAAAGCAGCAGGAGCAGCAGCAGACGCAGCAGCAGACACAGCAGCAGCAGGGGCTAATATTTCAGATACAGCTGTAGCTAAATATGAATTCTTCTTTTTGCTGCACTGCAGCAAGGAGCCCAGCTAAATTAAGAGAAGCGATTGCACTATTTCCTGTGCAGTGCAGGAGCCTTAGTCCTTGAGCTGCCCCTCTAGCAGCAGCAGCAGCTGCTGCTGCTGCTACTGCTGCTGCTGCTGCTGCCTAGCTGCTGCTGCGTAGGCTGCTGCAACTAAGCTAGGTCAGTCCTTGTCCTACGAAACTTCGTGTCGGCAACAATTAAGGTGACAGTCCCACCTCACAGTCAGCAGCAGCAGCAGGAGCAGCAGCAGCAGCAGGAGCAGCAGCAGCAGCAGCAGCAGCAGCGTTTGGCTCACCGTCCTGCAGGGACCAGGCGATCTCGCCCGCAGTTTCTGTGTGTCCCTGCCTCTTGGCTGTGCTGCTTGCTGCAGCAGCAACAGCAGCAGCAGATTCCTGCAGCCGCATGACACTGGCTGTGTCTGGGGGAGGTGCAGCAAACAGCACATGCAGTTTGCTGCTGGGGGGCCCCCCCCGTGCTGCTAGGGGCCCCCTTTGAGGGTCCAGAGAAGCAACAGCAGCACGGGCCCCTGCCAAAACAGAATCTGCTGCTGCTAATGTTGCTAGAGTGTGGTCATTTAAATAGCTGCGCTGCTCATTGACTTGCTGCTGCTGCTGCAGGAAGCTCGTGTGCTGCGCCTCCAGCTGCTGCTGTTGCAGCCGGGCAGCTGCTTCCAGAGCGTTGCTGAGCTGCTGCTGCTGCCGCTCTTGCTGCTGCTGCAGCTGCTCCCGCTGCCGAGCCACAAGCTCCTCCTGCCTATCCAGCTGCTGCTGCCGTATTCGAATGGCTGTGGTGAGCTGCTGCTGCTGCAGCAGCTGCTGCTGCTGCGTCAGTTGCTGCTGCTCTGCCAGCTGCTGAGATATTGCGTACACTTGCTCGGCGATGCTGTCAAGAGCAGCAGCAGCAGCATCAGCAGGGCCGCCGGCTCTGCTGCTGCGGCGCAAGGACAGCTGCTGCTGCTGCTGCTGCTGCTGCAGTGAGGTATCCCCATAAGACACTATGGGCTCAGAGGTTCTGGGCGTAAAGGGGTCGCCCCTGATTGTAGCTGCTGAGGCCTGCTGCCATGCCCCCTGCTGCTGCTGCTGCTGCTGCTGCAGATGGCTGTTCCGCTGCTGCTCAGAAGCCTCCTCTTCTGCTGCCTGGATGTACAGCTGCTGCGTAAAAGAAGAAGGCTCTTCAACTTGCTGCTGCAGCGGAACTGGCTCTGCAGCAAAAGCCCCCGCGTCTCCGTCTGCTGCTTCTGCAGGCAGCAGCAGCTGCTGCTGCAGTTGCTGCTGCTGCGGCGAGCCGAGCAACGCCGGCAGCTGCTGCCGCTGCAGCAGCTGCTGCTCGTGCTGCTGCAGCTGCTGCTGCTGGTGCAGCAAAGCCAACTCAATGCGCCGGAGCTCTTCTTCTCTCATCACCTGTCGGAGCTTTTCCTGCAGCTCCTGCGCGCGCCCAGTCGGTTGTTGCTGCTGCTGCTGCTGCTGCGGCTGCTGCTGCAGCGACTGCTGCAGCTGCTGCTGGTATCTAGCTGGCGCAGTAGCCGTGGCTCTGGGCATAATCGGAAGGCGCTGCTGCTGCTGTTGCTGCTGATGCAGCCTCTGTTGCGGTTGCTGCTGCAGCGGCTGCAGGAAGGGCTGCTGAAGGAACGGCCTCTGCTGCACTTGCTGTTGCATTTGCTGCTGCTGCAGATGCTGCCGCAGCAGCTGCTGCTGCAGCTGCTGCACTTGTTCTGGCTGCAGCTGGTGCTGGTTCTGCAGCAAAGTGGTGCCTATGAGATGAGGGCGAGATGAGCGCCTAGGCGGCCTGCCTACAGACTGTCTAAGTTTCTGCTGCTGCTGCTGCTGCTGCTGTAGCGGTTGCTGCTGCAGCAGCTGCTGCTGCGACAGCTGCTGTTGGGGCTGCTGCGGCAGCGGTGGCAGCAGCAGCGGCTGCTGCTGCTGGAGCAAAGGTGACACTGACCGGAGATCAGCAAGCGCTGCATGCACTAGAGCTTCTGCTTGCTCAGCCACTGCAGCAGCTGCTTCTGCATCTGCTGCTGCTGCTGCTGCTGCCTGCCCCTGTGCTGCTAACGCGGGGCCCCTTTGTGCTGCTGCTGCGGCAGCAGCCCTTTGAGCTTCTGATGCTGCAGTTGCTGCAACAGCAGCTTCGACTCCTGCTGCTGCTTCTGCAGCAACTGCAGCAGCATTCTGTGCTGTTGCTGCGTCTTGCTGCGCTTGCTGCGCCGCAAGCTCCCCGTCTTCCAGCTCCGCAGCAACGGCAGCAGCAGCAGCAGCAGCTGCTGC